GGCTCATCCCACCTCATCACAAGGCTAGACAGCTCCCTCGCAACAAGTCAAGCCGTCTACTTTTTTGCCTTAGAAAAAATAATGTTCATTTTTATGTTGGTAGAGACATTATGGTCACCACTCCTCTACTACCACTTTCAAGCCATCATGCCCCCCAGGTCGTGGCTACTCGGGACAAGATAACATGGCATGGCATGGCCTGATGTATGGCTCATCATGTCAAGCCATCACAATGACTTGGTGGCAAGATCTTCATGTCGAAGTCTAATAACTCCGACTCAAGATTTTCACTTTGATATTTTCCTTCTATCTTTTCTTTTAGCCATGGTTGGATACAATATTTTTTTATAAATAATATATAATAAGTATATTATATAAATTTATTTATTTTATATGGCAAGAAGTGACAAATGTCACTGCTCTCCATAGCCTTTGGCAACAATCAATGTACCAAAGGTGTACACCCATTGCCAAGTCCACGGATCAAACCAGACATGCCATCCATAGACCACATGACTCTTTTCCTCCATGAGAGATGAATCTTCATACATTAACTTTGAATTTTCTAGCTTACTAATGGGTGGTACATAGTCAGCCTGTCTAGTTTTGGTGGCCTTGCATGAGGTATCATGCTTCTTTGATTGGGCCACCTTACTTGACATGTCAAGGCTATCATGATTATTATTCTGCCTTGATTTCCTCCTACTTGATACATGTTTAATCTCCTCACGATGTTGGAGACCAGGTCTAGGCGTGACAAGTCGACAACCACTTGTGTAGCTTTCTTGTCTTCGTCTTTCAACATATAAACCTTGTTGGCCCCTATACTTAGCACTCAACCACCATTGATTCTTTGGGCAACCATGTTTGGCTGGTGTGTATGGTGACTTCTTATACATGCCCCCATGTCCACTCTTGGTGGTTGGTATTGAGTACTTACTATTCATTGACATGGACTTGCTCCCCAATCCACCCTTGTCCATAATCTCACGCTTATAAAATCCATGTGGGGGTTTGACTTCTTGTGACTTCTTGGAGATGCTATCTACTCCATTCTTCATGGTGGGTGAAATGCTCCCTTGTCCTAACTTAGCCAAATTTGCAAGACTGTGACAAATCTTTCTGCCTTTCACACGTCTTTCCTTATTGGACTTGCTCACATGTCCACTGTTTGTCATGCTCACTTTGAACCCTGTGGTCATGGAGTTGTCCACCTTGACGTTTGGTTGAAGACTACCCTCTCGCCTCCATTGTGTCACACCCAATATGTTGCCACGAGCCATTGGGAATTGGCCTTGGCGGGACTGGGCATTCTTACGAAGGAACCTTCTTCTTTGGGTCCTTGTCATCTCAGCCAATGCTACTTGTTGCTGACGACGAGCATCATACGTATGCCATCCATCATGTGGAACATTTGGCATCTTGAATGTTCTCCTCTTTTGGAAAGGAGCATGGGCCACCCATTGCCTCGGTTGCCCCCAAGATGGCTGCCTCACTCCTTCCACTTGTCTCTCGTATGGCGGATACCTTGGCCTTGGCTTGTTGGGAAGACCAATTCTTTGATGAATAGATGGCCTCGGCTTCTCTTCGTCGAGTTTGAGATTCTTCTTGCATCGAGCATACAACTTGTCAACTCCATCAGTCATCATTGCGGCCGAGCTGGCTTGCTTAGTACCTGACGAGCTCCCTTGCTCGAGAACCACGTTGGGGCTTCTTCGAGGTGGCATTGTATCCAACACCAACTTGAAGCGTGGCAACTCGACTTTAGAGAAATCTGGGTTGACCATGTTGACGCCAAGCACCTTGGGGAACGGATCAGTGTCCACCAACATGGCATCCTTCTTTGCTTCAGGGAACTTGATACGCCCCTTTTCAATGGCATCCTGCAAGACGTTACGGAACGCCACACAAGCATCAGTGGCATGTGACATGCTATTATGGCACTTACAATACTTTTTCCCTTTTAATTTCTCGGGTGAGGGAAAGACATCCCCCCCCCCCCCCCCCCCCCCCCGGGTCAACTTGACTTGACCATCCTTATAGAGTTGGTCAAAAATCAAGTCTGCCTTGGAGACGTCAAAGGAGTACTTCCTTGGCTGAATGGGAGCACGATTGGATCTCCCCCCTTGTGGTCCCTCTTCAACTTTAGACAAGGAAGCACATATGTATGGCTTCCCTGGAGTTATCTCAGCAAAGTCTACCTCAACCTCATTGGCCTCGTGGCCAATATGATTGATGGTATAGTCTAAGTTTGGGAAGTATGATTCCCTTGATGCACTCCTACGATTCTCTTCCTCATGTAGAAGAGACTCATACCTCACGACACAAGACATGAGTTGAAATAAATCAGAAAACTCCCTATCTTGGAATTTCTTCCGTAGTTCAAAACTCAAATCCCCTTGTGCCAGCTTGACAAACTCCCTCTCCGTCAAATTAACAAAGCAACGGTTACGGGCATTCTTGAAGTTAATCAAGAAATGCTCAACCGATTCCCCTGGTTGTTGGCTCATACGTGCCAAGTCAGCCATGGACACCTCGGGCTCGGATCTATAAAACTGAGCCTGGAAGACTTGTTCCATCTGTTGCCAAGTCTGGATGGAGTTAGACGGCAAGTTGACGTACCAAGCAAAAGTCGGTCCTGTCAACGAGTTTCCAAATAGTCTTAACTTAACAAAATCTCCTACATCGTCACATTGGACAGTGAAATGTCCAACATGCTCAACAGTGGACTGATCTCCAGTCCCTGTGAATGTGGCAAACTCGGGGACTCTTAATCCCCTTGGGAAGGGATGTAGCCTGTCTACCCATTCTGGGTACGGCTTACGGTATACAGGTGGCATGGCAGGTCTTACTCCCATGCCAAACTGCTCCGTGAGAAGTTGAGCCACTTGATCCCTAAGGGTGTTGGCTTCATGCCCTCCTTGTTGCCCCCCATACGGTACAAACCCAATGGGGTCCACGCCATGCCCATTGAAATGGGGTGGCGTTGGAGTTGGGTAGCCTCGTGGTGGGATTTCATCCATGTTGCCACCTAGACCTCCTCCTACTCCCACATTCATGGGAGCCACGTAGGGTCTTGCCTCCGATATAGAGGGACGAGCACCCACTTGCACGGGTGGCTGCTCAGCTCGAGTGTTGAACATGGCGGCGAGGTTCTCACCACGCGGGGGTACCACTTCAACTCCCACTTGTCCATATGACGACTCCCCTACTTGAGCAGCAGTGGGAATCTCAACATCATCTACTCAACGTAGAGGTGGTTGGCTTGCCGTCTGAGGCGACAAGTTCTCTTGCCGTGGTTGGCTATTTCGACCGCCGGCGGGAGAAGGAACGTTATTAGTAGGCATTGGGCTTGTGCAATCTACTGGCAAAGCTCTTGACTGCACTACTGGTCTAGTTAGAGTTTGTCGAAACTGAACCAACTCATTTGTGTTTTTGTTAACCACCTCAAATAATTGACTGAAACGTCTATCAATGCGAGAATTGAGACAGTAAATTTGAGAATTTACCTGATGTGTACTAGCCCGAGTCTCCTCCATCATGCGACGATTCTCCACCAGCATTTGGCGGTTCTCCTCCGTGGCTCGAAGGTTGTCAGCCACCATCTTGCGGTTCTCCTCCATCATCTGACGAAGGACCCCCACTGCTTCGCCGAGATCTCCACCAGGCGCGGTTGCCACCAAGATCTCTGCTCCACTGTTTCCTCCGGTCACCGTGTCGGACGCTTGGCCATGCTCGATGTTGGTCACCTGCTCTTTCATGAATCCAGCCGGAACGTCACCTTCTTGGTTCCTCCGCCTCGGAGCCATTGAATCGACCACAAGTGTCCCACCAGGTGTGCCAAATTTGTTTTCCAGCAAGAAAACTTGCGTTGAAACGAATTGATTGCACCTTGACTTCTTTGGACAATGATCACTAAGACAGATGTTTACACGAATCTCGAGACAAATTTATATTAAGTTACTCCTACTCCTATGGAGGTTCAATGAGAGCTCCATATCTACTACTACGGCTAAAATTGCAGAGGAAAGGATAGAGAGATAAAATTTGACATTGTGTTGTCTAGTGTGAATTTGGGCCCCCTTCCCTCTGTCAACTCCTCCTCCTATTTATAGGCTTGAGATGATAACCGTCGTAGAAAACTATCTTCGAGTAACTTCCAAAAAGAAATGCTTCCCTTCTTTCTCGGACGTGGCTGACGTGTCATTGTACGTGGGATAATCAGCAGTTTCTCCATTAACCGCCTGTTCTTCACCCTGGAACTGTCGTCTTGTTACTTGCCTCTCCCACATGACTTGCCTTCTTACTTCCAACTTGTTAGCTCAAATCTTGGACAAGGTCTCACGACGTGGTCTAGATCTTGCGACCACGTCGAGCTCTAAGTTTGAAGCTAACGTGGTCTAGATCTCATGACCATGTAGAGCTCTAGATTTGATGCCGACATGGTCTAGATCTCATGACCACGTCGGGCTCTAAATTTGATGTCGACGTGGTCTAGATCTCATGACCACGTCGGGCTTTTCAACTCGCGACGAGAACAGCTCCTTCTTGGAGACTTAGTAGTTTGGGGCTTAAAATGATTATCATGAGGCCCATTTCAAATAACATTAATTGTCATTAATGATCTGGCCTTATAAAGATAATAAATGCATTGTAAATAATCAATATGATACAAGATTATTTTTTAGGTGTAAACAATACTATAGCAAAATCAGTTTCTTGCAACCCTTCAACGGTCACATCTAGATTTCCTTGATTGAAGATTCTTTTATGTAATTACTTTCATTCTATGACAAGTAATTTTCATCGGAGTACAAATTGCTCCAACTTACCTGCTCGGTACTATATACAGAAAGGGAATCGCAACAGTTTACGGAACTGAAATAGAGAGGCGGCGCTTCAGTGGTAGAAGATGAATCAATTAGTCATGTGTCTACTTCATGGAGAAGACGACAATTGGTATAAAACATAGAGCAATGTCTATTTTTTATCCAAAAAATTTTCCAGATACTTTTATATTATCCAAACTTATCGAAATACTAAGAATTAGCCAAATGTTAACTTTTAGTTAGCAATTTTGTTAGTAATATTGACTTGGCAATATGATATTGACTTGGAAGAGAAACATGAGGGTCAACATTCCAAATTTTTCGTATTTTCACTAAGAAAAGAATTACAAATTAACAATAACGTAAAAATGGCTAATATCTTGATGCATTACGAAAGATTTGGCTAATTAATAGCATTTTAATAGATTTTGATAATATAAAAAAATCTGAAAAAGGTTTAGATAAAAAATAGGCAGTACCTAAAACATGAGGCCATGTGCACAATTAGACTTCAAAAAAAGTAAAGTAAGAAAGTAACGAGGAGCATATCACAAAAATAAATAATAAATAAGAGCGAGGAGCTAGATCTAACGAGTTACCCCTGAGTATGGTTGATAATCGGTACGGTTTCGATTTCACCGCATTTAATTGTCGGTTATCCACCAATCGATTTGGGCACACGATTGCCAACCGCCACCTACGGGGATTATCGGTTATAGTTCTCTTGATTCCCATGCAATTTACGATTGCTCATCGTTGAAGGCAGGGAAGACACAAGGGGGGAGATCAGAAGTCTTTTCACACTTTCCAAGCCCAAAGACAAAGGAAGGCGAACGACGGGGCAACAACAACAAGGAGGTGATTGAGGTCGAGACTGAAGAGTCACGATTGGCGATTGATGGAAGGGTTGGATGTGAGGCTTTGAGGAGAGCGGAGGGACGAGAATGGCAGGGGCGACAAGGGAGATGGCAGGGCAACGATGATTCTTCTGGTTTGGAGCTTTAATGGAGGCATGAAGAGTAGGGAAGGAAGGGAATTTAGTTGGAAAATGAAGCGGGTAGGAGCGGTGATGCGGTGACCGACGCATTTATCTGTTTTCAACCGACAACCATGTTAGCCGCAACACCAAAATGGCATAACTGCCGCAGCCAACCGCAACTTCTAAATGGTTAGCGGTTGGCAGACTAACTACGATTTTTTTGTTCGATTTTGCAATTAGCCAACTAAACCGACAACCCTTATCTGGCTGAGCTTCTAGCTTTCAGGGATGCTATCTCCTTTGTGGCCTCAAGATCCTTATCGAAGGTGATTCCGAAGTGGTCGTCAATCAAGTCCGTCAAAACGTCTCAGAAGACTCGATTGGTAGTCCAGTGTTACGGGAGTGTATTCAGATCCTTAACTCTTTATCTGTTTGTATAGAGTTCAGGACGGTACCTAGATCCGCCAACAATGTTGCCCATAAAGTTGCGCGTAAAGCACTGCTTTTGTCTCTTGTAGAGCTAGAATCTTTTGAATTCTTGGGAATGACTTCTTTAGAATCTTTTAGGGATCATGAGTAAAACTGTAAATTTAACTATTATTTCTCATTGATATCACTCAAAAATTTAAAAAAAAAACTAAACTAAACCGACAACCGTTTAATAGCACTATACCTGAGTCCCGATTCCTTGCTGAAAAAATATATTAATACTTCGATTTTGATTCCCAAACTATATCTTCTTTACACATAGCCCCCAAAATTTCCCACCAGGATAACCCCAACCATCTTAACTACTCCTACCACCACTACAGCTACTACCACTCTCTTATATCTGATTACAATCACATAGCCCAAATCCTATCCCCTAATTTCATCAGAACGACGGACAAACAAACAAAACATCATCATCGGAACGTCACTAAAACTGAAAACCCGTCGCCTTTGGTGGTGGTTTTCCCTTTCCCCTAGGTTTTTGCGAACTTCGATGTTTTCTTCTTAGATCATCAATCATTCTTCCCTCCACCCTTCCGTCAGCCAAAAACTGTGCCGCAAGAGAGAGCCATTAGGACGAAGGCAGCTTGTTCTTCTTCCGCCAGCTTCCTTCTCCTCCTCTGACACCTCTGTTTCTTCACTATCACCTCCGGCAGCGGCTGCTGCTGCGGCGGCGGGGATCTTCGGACCATCATACCTCCTCCCCTTCCGGAACACACCACTCTGACCTTCACCGGGCCGGCGGCAGAGATACTGCTCCCGCTGCTGTTACTGCGGGCACCGACGGCGGTGGAGGAGGAAGATTTGGAGGTGTCGGTTGTGGTGGTCGACTCGCTTGTACTCGCGGCGGCGGAGGATGAAGTGGCCATCTGCGGCGGTGTGGCTCGTTTCTTCGCGACGGGGTTTTCCACTGCAGCAGCTCTTCTCCGCTTCCGGAATCTGATTCCACAAGCGTTACACAGCGACTGCGGAGATCAGGAAAGAAATGGGGCGAGTTCGTCAGAAATGGAGGGAAAACGCTCCCAATCGCGCCAAAATTAGGGGAAATCGAAAGGGAGCAGTAGAAAACAAAATTACCCCCAACCCAGTGGATTAAACCCAAACCCCTAATTAGCCCAGATCAGAAATTTTGATTCCGAATCAGAAGGCAAGAAATCGGTTAAGAGTTAAAACCCATATAGAATATAGCAGAAAAATTCCGGGGGAAAACTCCATAATCAATCGATCATCTATAGCAAAATACAACAGATCCACAAATCTAACTCATATACTAAAGAAACAGAGACCTTTGGGCCGGCGGGTCCGCTTCTCCACAACGGAGTCCTTGTAGTCTTGCAGTCGGAGCACACCTTCTTCTCCCCACGGTCTTCCTCAACGCCGCCCCCTAATTTCTGACCACGAGAGAAAACCCAACTAGATCAGATCAGCAGAGGAAGAGCTAAAAAAGAAACACAGAGCAAATGGGGAAGAAACACAGAGCAAAGTCATGAAGAAAAAAAACTTCGAGATAGGTATTTACCTCCTTCTCCGTGTCGGGATCCATAGCACAGCACGAATTCTCTCTCTCTCTGAAGACGATCTTGCGATTACTTGCATGCAGGTGATCGTGTGAAACAGAGAGAACAGAAGAAGGCAAAGATAAAAACAGAGTTTGGAGAGGTAGGAGGCGGGAAGAAAAATGGCTATGGGAAATAGCAGAGGTGAGATGAACACCGACAACAGAGGATGTCTCTCTCTGTCTGCGAGTCTGCCACACTCCGGTCCTTTTTTTAGGTTGGTGGGTTGCTTCTGGCGGGCAGAGGGATTTTTTTTTTTTTTTGTAGTAAGGCGCGCGGTGGAGGGGATAAGGCAGCAAATAAACCCTAGCGAATCGGGGTTTTGGGGAAAGGGAGGGGCAAGGTTTGTGAAAATGACGAAAGCGCCCTCATGGGTTTTTAGGTGACATAAGCACCCGCCAAGTTTTGGAGCTGGGCGCTTGCCACGTGGCCTCGCTGAATGATTATTTGTCATCCTGTTGGCTAATTCACTGCTGTACATCCCTGTTTTAATCCGGTACATGCACTTGGGTTCCGCTTTCCTATTCTTTTTTTTTTCTGTGGTAAATTGCAGGTTGGTTAATTTTGTCACTCGGAAAAATTTTCCAGACAACTTCGCCATATGGGATAGGGAGGGACGAGTACCTCAATACGATAATACCTATACCCGCTTGCATCAAGCGTGGGTCGGAGAAGATAAAACTCAGCATGTACGGGTGGGTCGACCAACTCTTATATTTTATTTGAAAAAATACACACAATTTTACTTCTTAGCTAAAACGAAAGAAAAACACTTTATGAATGAAAAGTAGTGATGATATTATGGGTTATTAATCCTAACTACAGTATAACATGTTTAAATTAATAATCGATAAATTAATAATCTAGTATAAATTAATAATTTCTCCGATGCCAACTTGGGCTAGTGTAAAAAACTGAGCAAATTTAATAAAATAATAATATTTGAGAACCAACCTACAAAAATACATGTATTTTTATTCTATAAAATAATAACTGTAAAAATACAATTCATCTAGAAATTTATAATATAGGCAGGATAATCTTGAAAAATATGAATATATAGTTGTTTGTTTATTCTTAAAGTTCAAGTTTAATAGAAGTTTATCTTCAACTTTTCTCATTGCACTCAAAGTCTCCTGCGTTGTCTTCTCTAATAGCATAAAGTATTTTTGAAGAGTCGATGGGGCTTTAAGTGCTTCTTTTCGCGTGACCAGTTCCAAAAAATATTGAATTGTCATCTCTTCCATCCTCAATTGAACCCCCCCAATTCGAAGAATCCATAATTTTTTCTATTAATTTTAATACTATGAATACGTAGAATGCGATAAGTTATCATACGAACTTGAAATGTTTGAAAAATACGATGAACGTATATTAAAAGAAAAATCTCTTTAAATTAATAGTTATTAATTTATGGAGATAATACTATAGATGAAAGAAGATCACGTTTATTAACTAATTATTATTAAAAAAAATGAATTGATATTATAAATTTTTCCTCTAAAATGAGCCAAGTTCAAATAGCTGCCCCATCATGGAATATGTCATCCTCGTAATTGCATTCAGAGAATAGAAATCATTACACTGACCGCAAACAAGTAAAATTTTCGCCTCTGCTTAAACTAGTCTCAATATGTGGTATATAGAACATATGCATCTGTTTCCATGACTTGTACTATATAACAGAAATTAATCAATCGCATTTTTGGTCACTGAAGACCAGCCAATACGATAACGAAAATACCGACTATCCGTAATCCACGCACACATTACAATCTGTTTAAAACAGTACCAGTAAGTTCCAAACAAGACCCTCAAGTGCTCAACACAAATAACCTCCTCAACAAGTAAAACTTTCAGCATTACAACTTTCTTTTCTGCATTTCAAATGACCAAAATCCATTACACTTTCATTACATCTCGACTTCACCGTAAAAGGGTGGATCAACTCGCACAAGACCGAAGCTATATCATTCAAAAGCAAGATAAAAACGACCAAAAAAAACCAGGAGACTCACCCTTGGGTATTTGCCATCATAGCTACAAAAGACTCAATCTTAAGGAGGGGGGGAGGATTCTGCGAGTTTCAAAATCAACAACGGGGGGTAGAGATGAATATGACCCCAAACTGATTGTGGGAAAGCTATAAGACATTCCGGAGATAGACTCGATGACTCGACGACCATGATAGTGTCTTATGAAAGAGGTCCAGAATCTAGACTCTGGGTTACTCGTGGACATTTACCGCTATGCAGCACTCTGCATGCTCAGGACCCCGAACCAAACCCAGCTCCTGTTAGACTTGACGACACAGACGGGTCAACTTGACCAAGACGCACAAAACCCTGACCCAAGACCCGACCTGACCAGACATGACCTGACCTTGACAAAGCGTTCCCGAGCCTGATGGAAGCCAGCTGACCAATCTGAAAAAGGAAAAGAAGAAGAAAAAAAAAACAGAAACTGGTTAGCTCATTGACAGGGGAGGTGTGCATGATTAAGGTTTACACCACGCAGACTTGGACCAAATTGACATTTGGCATCGAAACATAGTTAGATTCTGCTTCAATTCTACAGATCATCTGAAAAATAAACAGAAAGGACCAAATACAGTAAGGGGTTGACTATGGTCCTCACTTTCTGTTTATTTTCCATCCGATCCAATTCTAGACTGGACCAAGAAACGCAGGCCCTTGCTCATAGATAGATGCTCAAGCTCCAAAACGGAAATTCTAAGCAGATTTCTCTTATTTCAAGGTTGAAGAGTAAAAAAGTCGTACATTTAGCTGAAGTTGAATCCACCAGGAGGAACTGCAGGGTCAGTGCCACCAAACTGGAAACCAGATTGAGCAACAGTATCACCAGGTGGCATCGTCTCGTCTTCCTCCTCCATCCAATAAGTCTCAAGAATTCTGACAGCCTTCTCATAAATCTCAGTGTTATCATGAGACTGCAAGTTCTCAATTTTCTCCAAACCTTCGGCATCATCAATCATCTGGGCATACTGATTTACACCGCCAGTGTTGCCGAGATTCTTGTCCGCTTCTCCAACCTTCAAGATGTTCTCGAGGCCTTCAAGGCATACTGTTACGATTCTCGGGTCAGGACAGATGAGAAGGTCACACAATGGCTTGATGCAACCTTGGCTAACAAGGTACCTATATTCAAACAAGGAACAAGCGATGCATCATTAAAGCAAAAGATGTTTGTTTGTTATGGTGTTAGACAGAGTGATCTGTCATTAAGCTGAATCAAACACACCAGGGAAATCGTTTTAAAATGGGAAGAAAGGCGAGCGTCAACTCCTTACTTGATTTGGTCATGGGTACCACCAGAGGTTGCATTAGAGATTGCCCATGCAGCTTCCTTCTTGATATCGAATTCGGCATTTTGCAAAAGATGGACTAATGGGCCGATGATATCAGCCTCAATTACACACTGCAAGATCAGAAGAAAAAGGCATCAAATGTAAGTCCAACATACAAAAATAATCATAAATCGATTGCTAGGGAAAAATTAAAAGAAACATACCTGAATCTGCTCCTTGTTACCAGCAGTTATGTTTGATATAGTCCAGCAAGCTTCTTTCTTGATGCTTTTCTTAAAGGTGTTTGTCAGCAAGTTGAGAAGACAAGGCAGTGCTTGATGATTGATAATACACTGTCAATGGTCGAGGGGAAGGGATAAGAAAACACAGAGAAAATATAGTCAACATCCAAAATATTATCAAACATCCCTAAAAGCAAGAATCCTAATCAAAAGTTCAATCACATCACCCTAACTTCAGCAGCCAATCAGTTCAACCACATATAACTTGCAGTACCTGAGTTTGCATATCATCACCAGTGACAATGTTTCCAACCGTCCGAAGTGCAGGAATGAGAACAGAAGGAGAAAGGTGCCTGGAGGAAATAGTTGTGAACTGTTTAGCAAGTTCCCAAGCAATAATCAAAATATAAAAGTTGTGAATTCCTTCTGGATACTAATATAAAATAATAAATTGTGAAGTGCAGGAATGAGAACAGGAGAACGGTGTCTGGAGGAAATAGTTGTAAGCTGTTTAGCTGGTTCGCGAGCAATAATCAAAATATAAAAGTTGTGAATTCCCTATGGATACTAATATAATAAAGGACATGGATAAGAAACTAGTACTCACAGCAATAATCAAAATATAAAAGTTGTGAATTCCCTATGGATACTAATATAATAAAGGAAATGGATAAGAAACTAGTACTCACAGCAAGAGCTCAACCAGGCGAGGGCACACACCAGCTTCAATGACAGCTTGAATTTTATCATTGGTACCATCAGATAGATATGAGAGTGCCCAACAGGCATCAGTCAACACCTCTTCGTCATTAGAATGAATCAGCCGTGTAAGGGCTGGGAGAGCTGGCTTAACCTGTTGAATTAAACAAATAGAGTAAAAAACAAAGAGGACAGACAAAAGACCATAAGTCCTGATAAACATATTACAACAGCATACAACTTCCCAATCCATGACACAGTATTCATGAGCATAATCAACCATCTATAATAGGTGTTTAGCAATATTTTATAAATGAATCTAAACAAAGGAAAAGGTTCAACAAACCTGGTCGAACGGAGGCTGTGGCTTCCCACGACAGAAGTTCGACAATGTCCATGTAGCATTTCTAAGCATCGATAATTTTGCATGCTCATTAAGCTGAGCGAGCAGAGGAAGCAAAGCTCCATTGCCAAGCACAAGATCACGGCATCTTGGAGAATCCCCGGCCACATTTCCTAAAGCCCATACAGCCTGATAATAGGAGAGGGAAATGAGAAACTAGAGAGACAAAACTCCAAAATGACCGCAGCAGATAAAAAAAAAGTTCTCACACATTTACCTGCTCACGGACATCATCACTTGGTGAACCCAGCAGCTTTACAAATATCGGCACAGCACCATGATCAATCACAACTTTAGTGTTCTCGGATGTTCCAGAAGCAATATTTGTAAGTGCCCAAGCTGCTTCAAACTACAAGAGATTTCAACCAATTGGATTCGAAAAGATAACATTTACTTCCAAGAAAAAAGCACAAACAAGGTCGGGCTGCCTACAAACCTGAAGCTGGGGAAAGTCCTCCCTCATAAGAAACTCAACAAAGCGTGGAACAACTCCAGCTTGTATAACTTCTTCAATCGGAGGGCTCCGCTCTGCCAGTGAATCAAAGGGTAGAAACAATCTCAGCAATGAATCGAGAAACAAAATGTACAATAGAAAAACATTATGCAGGGCCAAAAGACTCGCCAATAGAGAGCAACTTTCTGAACTGTGTTGTTGCCTCAAGCTGCAAATTGCCATCATCAGACCAAACACCAGTGACCATCGAAGGCAGATGCTCCAACTGCATTCAAACAACTCGATTAAGTAAAACAGCAACAGATAAACTAGTCAATCGGTCACATCTTAGCTAAACTCCGCAAGGGCAATCAACCAGCTTGACTGGGAACCCCTAACATCAACTAACCAAACCCCAACCATCCCAATCAAATTACACGGATAAAACAGTGAATCAATAATACCACAGCTAAATTCCGCAACGCCAATTCAATCACGCATCAATCGAACAAAGAAACCAACCAGATTGATTCGAAACCCTAACTCGAACTAACCAATCCCCAAGAATCCCAACGAAATTACAATCGGAACTTCCTTATCGACCCACCAAAACTTAAACCACCAGCAAGTAACAATTAGCGAGAGGTAATCAGTGCGTCTCATATATCTCCATCAAGAAACAGAAATTCCACCAAACAGCAAGAAAAAAAATAAAGAGAGAAGAGCAACAAAGCAAACCTTCTTCTCGACAGTGGTGGAGTGCATCGAGGCAGGCATGGGCTGAGCCGCAAGTCCCTCCCGTCGCTTCTTCTGGAGGCTCTCCTCCCTCCGATTCTTCCGGATCTCAACCATGTTATCCTCCCTTCGCCGCCGCCCTTCTTCCGCGTCGACGGCGACCTTGTACCTGTTCTTGCGGACCTCGGTCCTCGCGTTGGGCCTCAACGACATCGTGATACAAAATTGGAGTACGCCTCCGACCGCCGAGGCAAACAAACACCACCACCACTACCCGGAGATCGAAGCGAAATTAGGGTTTTGCAGAGATCGATTTCGTCACTTGCAGGTTTTCTTCCGAGAAGTGACTCGCTCACAGAAAAATGAGAGAAATAAAGGGGGGAAGGAAGGAAGAGTGGACAGTGAGGGAGGAAAAAATTTATATACGGAGCGGAGGGAGAGTGGAAATGTGGTCATGGATCGGGCTATTATTACGAGATATGCCACTCGGAAATTTGAATTCGAAGTGGTGGGGAGAAAAGGATATATAAGGGAGAGAGAAAAAAAGGTGACTTTGCTCTGACCTGCAGCGGGCCCCAGCGGGCAGCGATACAGTTTCCACTTTCAATTCATCTTTCACAACTGAACCAACGGCGTCGTAATATCTGGGATTTTCTTGCGGAGTTATTATCGTTGTATTTTATTTTAACTAGCACAGAGCCTGATCCGTTGATCGGGAGAATTTTGTCGAGAAATATGACATGTAATAATGAATATAATAGATAATTTATTTTTATAATAGATGATTTGAAATGCATGAAATGAGTGTTTTATAACTTAGTTACGCACATAACATTTTTGAAAGTGATCCAACTATGCATAATGTGTTTAGACCTTTATGAAAAGAGAAAAAAAATAATATAAGCATTACATATAATTAATTAATGAAAAAGAAATAAATATACCTAATTGTCATTCATTACTTAATTAAATCATATAGTTGAATATTAGAGTTGCTTCTCATAATACATAATAATCAACCTTAAAAAAATATCTCACATAAATTCAGTATGCCCTTTAAGTTTTTTCTAATAGAGAACATTTTTTTTACCACACTATTGGTAATGAATCCGAAGTTGCTTGATTTGAAATATATAAGACATAATGCTAAGTTGTCACTAATAGTCACTTGGGCAATGTGTTGTGTACGGACTTCCCAAATTATTCTCATATTGCAGACATGTCTAGCAACAATTAGGACTGGGAAAATAGACCAGACCGTTAGAAAAACCGTGATCCAAACCGTATCGTACATTTTGGTATGGACCGTAGACCGTTAAGTATGGTCTGGTCTAGTCCATGGTCTGTATTATTTTATGTTTTGATCTCTTGATCTGGTGTGGTCTAGACCGCGGTTCACCGGACCAAACCGTGGATCCAACCAACTTGTCAATACGTGTTAACAACTCATTCGACCACTCTCCCAACTCCCACAATGACACCAAAGTCCCAACCTTAGTTTTGTGAATCTCGGGTCTCCTTCATTCACAACCACATTTAACCAGAGAGTATAGATAATCGTGTCTCTGTATCACATTATATTAATGTTTATGACGCTATGACTTATGGTGCAAGTTGGGATGCTTTTACTTTGTACTTTGTTATGTACTAAGATTCAGGGTATCAAAATTATTCATGCATGTTAGGATTAATGTTTTAAGGCAAAGAACAATTATTTTTCTTGGTTATTGGTTCAATTTTTGTGTGGTTGACTAAACAAATTATTCATTTTTCGTTGAGTGTGGTCTATATGGACCAGACCAGACCAAACCAGACCGCACAGGCGTGGACTGGACCGAACCATAAAGTCTCTGGTCTGGTCTGTGGTCTATACTTCAGCCTCTCGGTATGGACCATAGACCATATATATAGTCTGGTTTGGACCAGACCGCACCGTTTCCCAGCCCTAGCAACAATATTGTAATTTTCATGCAACAAATATATTTTCATGAAATAATTAAATAAAAAAACATATTAAAATCAGCTTACATGAAATAGATGTTACTCAATTTTTATTTAGAAACTTCACTAAAAGCCGGGGAAAGGATAAATACCACAGAAGTAAGACCGGTCTTGAGATCATAACTGCTTACAGCAACACTCCTACGCGAGACTCTTTTGGTGAAACGTAAGAGCGAAGCCAACACTTGCCTCCCGCCATTCATAAAGAAGTAGAAGTCGTTCGGACTGGACTTAACAACCCATTAGTTTTCCTTATCTTCCAATAGCTTTTCATGCCTTGTCAATCTTCCACCTACGGAAAGCTCCTACACTTAATGGCTTAAGCCGTTGTTCCCATTTCCTCGCTGATTCATCATGCTAAAGGTACTCATTAAGTTGATGAATGAGCGAGGGTATGAGTAGCATACATTTATTTTAAAAAGATAAAAGTTGTAAAGTGTCGTTTGGGTTGAACTATACATTATTATCGCTAACTGACTTGTGTTTTTTTTTTTTTTTGCAACAAATAGTTCAGAATGTGTCTTGTAATTTTTGTTTCCACCAGTGTAAAATAATTATTTTAATCGATGATTTTAAAATCGTATAAAAAAGTTGGTGGTAGAATTTTATACCGAAGTCATAATATAACTATGGTTCAACTGTCTCATTTTGTTAAATGTCACTTACCGATTTAGCCTATGGTGAAGTTTTATGGTTGAACAGCCAATACGTACGATCTTTCAATTCAAACTCTAAATAAAAAATCTCTGAAATATTGACATTATTGAATACCCCCTAAATAAAAATGATCAAATTACTTCTCCTATTTTGCGTTTGAAATATTTCTTCTCCATTAACAGTCGATAGTGTGAATCATATCACCTGAAACCGGGCGAACATATGACCGCTTATTATTCGACGAAGCAAAGTAGTTTGATAGCATGTGAATAAACTAATTACTAAATGTGATAAAAACAAAGCTCGTTACCCCGGTCGAGTGAGTGTATAATTTGTTCATTGCTTAAACAATTTTAGTTTTCTAGGGTCACTTGGAAGTTGCGATTGTTTTGTTGAGAATGTCATTATGCGTGTATTGTTTACAATGCATCGTTTTTTGTTTTTTTAGCAGAAACAATACATGGATTGTTTCTGTGATGTGACAGAAACTATCACTCATTTTGAGTGATTGTTATATCTCAACTTTTAGTTGTGATTGTTGAGATAGTTGAGTTGAGATTGTTTTGTCTCAGCTTTTAGCTGATGCGACATACACAATCACACATACCAAACGTTGTATTCTACAATGCATCAAATTCGACAATACATGTATAATATTATACATGCATTCTCAACAATACATCTATTTAACAATCGCAACTTCCAAACGACCCCTAAAGAATCAAAATTCATAATCAGGTTCATCTTCACTTATTTACACGTATTTTTAGTACAAATTCAGTACACAAAAAAATGGTTTCGAACCGGCATATCAAACTAAATCTCATCTTATTATTATTGGATCCAATCGTGTCAGATTAGCAAGAGGTCTAAGGCTATTGGACAACCAGGCTGAAAATTAATATTGATTTAAGAATTATATATCGCTTCTAAATTGTCAGCACCCCAATTCAATATTTGAACAATGATATGTGAGTTTCAACCCATTTTTCAAAAAAATTAGACCAAAAAAATCCTCCTCCCCAAACACACACACATTTGCAAGGAGATACTAAATCTCAAGTTCTTCTTCACTCTACTTGCTTCTAAAGTTATTGTTGATGTTGTCTGTTATTACTGCAAGCAATGTAGTCAAATCGTGTTTCTACGTAGAAGCGTTTTTGTGATTTAGAAGCGTAAAACAGTAAGTTTTTAAGCTTCAAAGCGCAGTTTTTACTACATTAGTTATAAAAATGGTGATTATGCGTAGAAGAGTTTTGGTGACCTAAAAACGTCAAACCGTAAGTTTTTAAGTTTAAATGCGTGATTTTGACTACATTAACTGCAAGCTGTAAAAAAGACTTTTTCATCTATGAATTTAATTAAGAATTATTTTATAAATGAATGTTTAGTTGTATACTTTGAAAAATGTTTGAGTCTCAAAATAAACTATGAATGTATTTTAAAACCTTTTAGAATATGAGTTGTGACACGTTGATGTGAAAAAATACTCATTAATTCAAATTTTATATGTTATTTTTAGAATATTTTATTTTTATCAAATGACGCATTTTTCCATAAAACATGAGTTCATCAATATAGTTGTGCGGTACTCGCACTTGTGCGCGAGCCCTTGATGTTTAAGTTTGTTACGACCCATGAAACATTCATGCTTGTACAGGGCCGATCTATATATATTGTACGCATGGTATGCGCTAACTGTGTCGTGCTAGCTTGACCATTTGTCTAGGTATAGTTATATCTTATATGCATTCTAATATTTAAGTTTTTATCTATTCACAACACCAAAATAAAAAAAAATCATAAATGCACACAGTATTCGATTTTGACTACCTGGTGAAATACTACATTTGAACCAGCTACCACTGATGTCACGAATAATAAGTATACATCTAAATCATAAATAAATTTTTTCAAACATAAGATAAAATATAAATATAGAAGCATCATCACCAAACATATTTCTAGCGTTTAATCAAAGAAATAACAATAATTTACATTGTAGCCTAGTTGGTTATATTGCTCTTTCTTTGTTTACTAAGTGACCATGGTTCGAACTCTAATGATTACATTTTTAATATATAAAGATGATTTGGTTACAATGACAAAAATGACCTTCCTAGAATCACTCTCAGACCACGAAATTTGAAATGGAGCAATTCTAACTCATTTTCACAACCGTAGTTTTTGGGCCCCCATTGGAGGAGATCGTACCAAATCCATCAATTAGGAGATGGAATAACAAAGGGTTGGTTTGTTTAGTAGATTTGAAAAATGAAGATTTTGGTAAAATTTGAGTTTTGTAAAATCATGGATATATAAGGGCTTTGGGTTCATCATGGTCCATGGATTTGAAAAATATCGTTGTTTGTTTCATAGATTTCATGATGGAATTGGTTAATTAGATTTGTATGCATGAAGTGAAATTTACCTTTATTGCCCTCATTGGTATGAGAAGAGAAATAGGAGGGTAGTTTGGTCTTAATGATGGACTTCAAAGTCCATGATCAATTCTCACCTAAATAGGTGGAACTTTCAAGTCTGTGGGGTCCACGGATTTGGACCCTTAAAGTTCGTAGGACCCACGGATTTGTTGCTCCTAAATGCATGAAGCAAACAATGGATTTTAGACAAAGTCCATGATGGATCCAAATCCCTCACCAAATCAATCAAGCAAACAAGCCCAAAAGCAAATACCAAAGGTAAGATAGGCTAACGGTAAAGCAGGCGCGACAGTGAAGGTTTGGGAGTTGCAGATCCCAGGTTCGAATTCAAGAGAGGCCCGTTGGTGTTCCCGGAGGTACAAGGCTGCCAGGGAGGAAGCCCCGTTGCCGTCGAATTGATTGCAGGTGGCCCCTATATTTAGTAGCCCTCAGTCACAAAATGGCACGTAGAGCTGAGGTTCCTGGGTATAAAAAAAAACAAAAGCAAATAGGGATGGTACTCCGCTACCAATTTAACCGCTAATCGATACAATAACTGGTAGTTAATAGTTAAATCGAAAGTCAATAAGGATATCAGTGTTCTGTTAGCATATAACTAGTTTTTTTTTGGTAACAAGAGGATGCTAAGGGCGCCTAATCTTTACTCAAGAACAAGTCTGGAAGATTCACTCCCAACTAAATCATACATCAACCAGTAGCAGAGAACTGTGCTTGGGGACGTAATCTGGTGGACACCCACCGCAAGAGCACGGTAGTTGACACAATGAAGTCCGCCACCACATTTCTTTCTCTGTATATATGCTCAATCCGGATCTCCCAGTTCAGCTGCATCAACCTCCTAACCTCTGAGACCAGCGTGAAGTGCGGATGAGATGGGTCAGCAGAACCAATCAAGTCAACTGCCGCTTTCGAATCCGTTTGCGAGACCGCCTTCCTGACACCAAGATCCCAGGCACATCTCAACCCATACACAACCCCGAGGAGCTCAGCCCTTGTAATTGACCCGCCTCCTGCGTTCATAGCGAAGCCCCCCAAAAAGCAACCCTCATCGTTGCGAACCAGGCCACCCGCTGCCGAACTGAGCTGTGATAACGCCACAGATCCATCTGTGTTTATACATGCCCAACCTTTTTCAGGTAATCTCCAGCCTATCATTCTTCGAACGCGCAAGTTATCTGTCCCTAGAGCTTTGGCTTCTCGGGTAGACGCCTCCAAGATTTGTTGTTGAAGCCTCCTAGCTGCAGCCTGAAGTTGAGAGGGTGAGCCCAACTTCTTCTCAAATACAAGCTTGTTCCTATTCTTCCATAGACCCTAGCAAACTGAAGCAAAAAGTGTGGCATCCACAATACCACTCTTTCCTGTTATATAATATGTCATCCATCGCAACAGATCCGGTTGGAAGAAGCCGTGATCGGGCTCCCCTTCGAGGAACTCCGCCCAGACAAGCCGAGCAAAAGGGCATTCCCTTAGGATATGAAATGTATTCTTGTTGCAGCTCCCACAAATTGGGAAATTATCGTTGTTTGAGAGATGCCTATGTTTCCTCTCCACATTAGTTAGGAGGCGATCATGGCTCGTCAACCAGAGGAACGTTCGGATTCATTGGGTGGCTGGTGCACTCCAAATCTTCCTCCACACCGGATGCGTCTGACTTGGATTACTTGACCCATCGATTACCTCATACGCAGAGCCAAGGGAAAACTTCCCTGAAGGCGTGAATCGCCATGACGGGATGTCCTCCCCTCCTGCCGAAGGTACTCCATGGAGCTGAATTAACTGAACCACACTCTCAGGGAGGAAAGCGCGTAAGTAATCCAGGTTCCATTCTCCGTTCAAGATCATCTCCGCTACTGTGGCGATCTCCATCTCCATTGGAATTCCACTAGATAACTCGGCAAGGGTGGCTCCATCCTGCAACCATCTATATACCCAGAATCGGGTCTGGCAGCCGCTTTGGATATTCCATATCACTGCATCGGGAAGCAGCTGCAAAACTCTTAATACTCCCCTCCAGAGATTCGACATGCGCCCAGACATCCTCGGTCTCCATCCTCCTTCGACTTGCTACAGATACTTCCCTCGAACTACCTTCGTCCAGAGACTATCTTTCTCCACCATCAGCCTCCATGCAATTTTCAACATGTATGCATCATTCATTATTGTTGCATCCTTCATACCGAGGCCGCCTTCTTCCTTGCATTTGCATACCGTATCCCAATTAAGGAGGTGAATCTTTCTTCCTCCATCCGCATTCCCCTAAATAAAAGCTCTCAACTTTTTATTGTTGTAGTCCCGCACACTTCCCGGTAAGAGAGTGGTTTGCATTGTGTAAGCTGGAAGGGAGGTGAGCACTGACTTCGCGAGGGTAATTCGGGCCGCGAGTGACATCATCTTGACCTTCCACCCTGCCAAACGAGTATCTGTTTTATCAATAAGTTCAGTGAACGTTGCTTTTGATACTCTGTCATGTATCATCGGAACACCCAGGTATCTCCCCAGGTTCTTAGTTTCAGGAATCCCCAAAGAGGCGCTCAACTCCGAACCCATCCTCGTAGTTACATTCTTCGAGAAGAACACCCTTGACTTTGGTTTGATGATTTTTTGTCCCGATGCCCCTCCGAACTCCTCGAAAATTCTGTTAATCTCGCTCACCTGTGCCATTGAAGCCACACCAAACAGAATAAGATCATCAGCAAAGAACAGGTGTGATAACTCAGGCCCAGACTGCGACAGTTTGATTGGTTTCCATGACCCTCCATCCACTGTAGCTCAAATTAGGTGTCCCAACAGTTCCATACACAATGTGAATATGTATGGCGACAGCGGACACCCTTGACGGAGGCCCCTGGATGGTTTGAATTCTTCTGTTAATCCCTCGTTCCATTGGATGCGCATCCTGGAGGTGGTGATACATTTCATAGTCAAATCAGAGAACTGCAGAGGGACTCCCACCGCTTGAAGAGTATCGGCCACGAAGCTCCACTTAATACGGTCATAGGCCTTGGCCAGGTCGATTTTAATTGCCATCCACCCTGTCCGACCCGTCTTGGCTCTCATTGAATGCACCACTTCCTGCAAATTGCAAATATTATCAGTAATATGGCTCCCTAGCACAAAGCTCGTTTGTGTTTCATGTACGAGTTTTTGTCATGAGAGGCTTCAATCTCTCCGCCAGGCACTTTTTCATGATCTTATAACTGACGTTGCAGAGGCTAATTGGGCGAAAATGTTCGATCAGGGAGGGTCGTTTGAGCTTAGGGATAAGGACCAAGATAGTCTCATTAATCCCCTCGATGATCCTCGATGCATTCCAACATCTCCTGGCAAACTCAGCCACCATCGGGCCAACCGTATCCCAGAAGCGCTGATAAAAGATGGGTTGCAATCCGTCAATACCCGGCGCTTTTAGTGCTCCCATGGCTCTTGCCGCCGTTTTAAGTTCATCATCTGAAGGTACCACTCCCATTTGATCACATTCCTGCGGAGACAAAGAATTAAAGCCATCTAATAGGCTAGAAATTGCAGCCCCATCATCTTCAAAGAGGTCTACATATTAAGTGGTGGCCATCGCTTGCAGCTCCTCTTGATCCTCAACCCATTCTCCTCACTGGTTTTTCAAAGCTACGATCATGTTCCGTCTTTGGCGCTCAATCGTTCGCGCATGAAAATATTTAGTATTCCTCTCGCCCGAGGAGATCCACTCGAGTCTTGATTTTTGGCACCAGAGGATATCCTCCTCTAGGAGTACCTCTTCCAGCTCTCTTCGTGTTTGACTGAGACATTCATTATCCGAGTCTCCTCCCCATCGAGTCTCTAGCTCTCAATATGCCTCATCAACTTGCCTTTCCGGCGGAAAATATTGTCGAAGGAGTGGTAGTTCCATTCCTTGGCATCTTTTGTAAACTCCACAATGTAGCTGCTAAGATCCGACCCCCTTCCCCAGGTCAAACGAATCAGTTCCGGGAAGTCCTCTCTAGTAAGCCAGGCCGCTAGAAATCGAAATGGTTTGGGCCCCCTGGATTGGAAACTCGGATTCACATGAATGACAATAGGGCGATGGTCTGATTTTATTCGTGGGAGGTGGAAAACCGTCGTTTCAGGAAATGTAGTGTTCCACAGGTTGTTCCCCAAGCCTCTATCAAGACGTTCTCTCACCCCATTGCGGAACCATGTGAAAGGCGGGCCCACAAACCCCAGATCGGACAGGCTTGTATCCAAAACACAATCTTGAAACTCCCGGATTCTACTCATGTCGAATGTCGCGCCTCCAAGCTTATCCGACGAAGACAACATGGAATTAAAATCTCCAGCAAGTAGCCACTACTCCGTCGTCTCCTCTGCTATATTCCGAATAGATTCCCATTGCTCTCTCCGTTGCACCAATGCAGGGTTACCATAAACTCCTGTAAAGCACCACTGAATTGTACCCGTAAGTGCACGAACATGTAATAGCTGATTAGTGCGGGTGATTTCCGATATTTGTATGTTTCCCGAGTCCCAGAGAGTCCAAATTCCCCCCCGAAAATCCATCCGCGTCCACTACTAGCTTCTCATTGAAGCCCATCTTATTAATAACTCTCGTAGCCGTATCTCCACTAATCCTCAGTTCCACGATGACAGCGACGGAAGGCCGATGTCTGCGTTGGTATTCCTTAAACACTCTCAGGAAGTGTTTGCTTCCCGCCCTCTACAGACCCACGAGAATATTTTTACATCCATGAGTTTGGAACGTAGGTGTATGGCCGTTGGCCAATAATTACTTTGCTACCGGGGGCACCCTTAAGGAGGTATATGAACGTAAGCTCATCTCCTCTGGTGTCCGCTTGTCAAAGTGACCAAAATTCCCTTCCTGCATACCTTGCATGGCGTCCTTCCTCAAAACCATATCTCCCCCTGGGTCAGCAGGTGTACTTGAGAGAGAGTCCATTTTTGGATCTTGTGTTTGGCGGGAGGGGGGGGGGGGGAGTGGCTGGCTATTAGCTGTACTGGCATTATTAACCCCCCTTGCCGCTTGCTTGGAGGACACCTCTGTTGTACTCACTTGGGGAAATTCCTTTGTGCCATTTCTTTGCCTTGGCAAGGGTGTGCCTGAGACATTCTTGTCTCTACCCTCCTGTTGTGGTATGTCCATGCTTGTATTACTTTCTTCCAAGCGTTGTTTCTCCACCCACACCTGTTGGTTCATCTCTTTATTTGGTGACTTATTGCCCGGTTTCCTTAGCATACTATGCTCATTCATCTTAGTTGTTCGATATCCTATTTTCTCCTCCTTTCCTCCTCCAGCCTCGTTTCTGTTCCCCTCCTAGGATAGTACATCAAAAAGAGAACCCGAAGGATTGGTATTGGCAGCCCCGGTTGCTCTTCTTGGATTCCCGCCTTTACCCCTCTACTTGCAGTTTATACGGTTTACGATCTTGACGTTTGGCAATCATCCACTCCCATAGGGTTCGACATGTTTCTTACCCTGACTCCCATCATTTTCATGTTCCCGTTGGGGTATTTTTCCTTCAACATGAAGTGATGGGCACCGAGACTTGGAGTGACCATACATTCCACACTCGAAGCAAACGTTGTCCAGCCCCTCATACTTTATTTCATACTCCACACCTTCAACCTTATAACGTGCTAGCAGAGTCTTGGTTAGGTCCACTTCAATGCAGGCTCTAGCAAACATGCCACGAGATCCCATTTCAGTCGCCCGATCGACACGAAGAGGGGTTCCCGCTCTGCTGGCTATACAAAGTACCGCCTCCAGGTTAAACAACTCAATAGGTAAATCGGGGAGACGGATCCAGACCAATGTCGAATCTATCCTGCACGCCTGAGATTTGAAGCCCTTCTGCATTGTCAAGTAGTGGTCTCCAATCATCCATGGACCCCCTGTGAGTGCGCGTTCGTAGTCCTCCTTCCGCGTCAAGCGAACAAAATAGTACCCATTCGATTTGTTCGTAATCTGGATAGGAACATTCCTTGCCCATAGCATATTGAGACGCTTAGCCATGATTGGGTACTGGAAAGTCCTTCCCATTACTTTAACTATTAGCGCAGATCGCCATTCTCTTCTATATCCCCTCATCTCAGCTGTCGAGAATGGGATTGTTGGACAGAGTGGGTCCTCTACGTCCGATAACTCTTCATCGCAATCAGCTTCCCTTATTTCCTCAGCCACATCCTCAGAATCACTCTCTGCTACATACCACGACTCCTCCCTAACCACTTCACTAAAGAGCTTTCGACTCCCCGATCCCCATGCCATCAGTTGTGGGTTCCAGAAAGCAAAAGTTTCCTACAAGGCCAGAACTTCTCTGCTCCACTCCCGGTGATGGCCCCCTTCCCTGTCTAACTCTTCCTCCGTTATGTCCTCAATATGAACATCCTCTACGAAATTAGTATATCTTGTTAGATCTATAGCCCTAACTCTCTTTTTTGGGTGTTGGGCTTCTCTAGCCTTCTTTCCGTCCGGGGACGAAGAATGTTCCGGAGGCCTCCTAGTACCCGCTGATCCGTCCGGTGGTTTTGCTTCATCCGGGGTAATGCCCGGTGGGGTCGAAGACCCCCCCAGCCGCCATCTGCGATCTCTTTCTCGCTGAAAACCCTAGTCGCCGATTACCTCTACTCCGAGAAAATCGGAGCCACAGTTTTATTCCACCTTAGCATATAACTAGTTAATAACATATCTACACTATCATTTATAGTGGAAACATAAAACTACACCATCCATTTAAGAATTTTTGCTCCTAGGGTAATTTGCGGGAGCTAATGTGGCGGGTCATTTAGGCGGGCGCTTTTTCTCTCCCTTTTGGAATTTCCTTTAGACCTGGAAAATTAGGTCCCGGCCTGTTGACCCGACCCGAATCCGGCCAAAAAAATAGAACTTTTTATCATCTGAAACCCGAATGACTCGAACACGATTAAGTCGTGATTTTTTTAGTTGGATTGGGTGGGTTAGCAAGTCAATCTGTTAGACCCGTTTCATTTCACATGTCAGTTGTCACTCCTAATATGATAAAATCACTCATAAATTGGTGAGATGTTTAAAAACATTCACAAGGATTTGAAAGACATGTTTGGAGTTTAATGATAATCAAATATAATGTATTCCTTGTAGTAGTATTACTCTCACGACGAGGGAGGATCAACCTGGGATAAAGATCTTGTCGAAGAGGAGCGAGAGGACGAGGAGGACGTCGAGGGTGAGATCCTACCACTTAATGCACCTACAGTCCATATTACATAACATACATGAGAATAAAATATATATTATTGGTAAAAATTTATTTCAATTCACTCTTCTTACCTACTTAACCCAAGAGAATGAAATGATTAATCCTGCTTTTATGTGAGAATTGAAGAAGGGAAGAAAGTGATGGAGAAGGGAAGAAAGTAGGGAGAATGAGAATATAGAGAGATGTAGGGAGGAATAGAAATAGTGGGGGAGATTATATTGATAAGAAGATTAGAGGTTTCATTCTCAAAGCAAGGGAGGAAGATTGATTTGATCAATTGGGATACTTTAGGAAGCGAAAGAGGAGGATGGCCTAAGCTTGCACGGTGATACTCGAATAAATGAAACCTTTATGATGAAGATTGTGTGGCTATTGATTATAGAGCAGGATTTCACTAGGTCTGAGTTGTTAGAGGGAAATATTTGAAGTCGACGGAATGGGGATTACAACATAGAGTGGAATCCTGTTTGTCTAACATATGAAGGAGGGTTTATGTGTGTTGCATTACATTTCGGAGGGAACCATGTGGAATATTAAAAGTTGAATGCAAACGTTGTTTAGATGGATCGATGGTTGCAGGATGGGCCACCGTTAGTGACGTTCATAGTTAATCTCTCCAACGAGGCAAGAAGTTTGATTGTAGCCAATTTAGTGTTGATTGGAAGCTGGAATGTTGAATTCATCCAGGTTTATTCATGAGTAGATCGTCATATAATTACCACTTCATCTCATACCTCAAGAAGAGGACCTGATATCCCAGTTTGGAGGTTTTCTCCTTTGGGTCTTTTCACTTTGCAGATGGCGGACGAGCTTATCAGAGGGTGGGATGAGGAAGACAATTCACACCGAGTTCAGAAGGCAACCTAGTGGATTCATGAGCCTCAATATGGGTGTTTAAGAAGAAACTAGCGCAAACCACCCAGCTGGTTCACTAGTTGCATCAGTATTGTGACGAGACAACCTCGACCTTTAATAAGGCAATTCACGTAATGGGTGGAGAAAATGAGAGCGTCACAAGTTTGATCAGCTAACATGAACCTCCAAGGAACTAGGTGTGCTTAAATACATATGTGATAGACCATTGATTGCACATGTTTTTACCCCTATTCTTGAGCCGTTTGAGATGTTGATTCTCGTGTTTTAAGCTGATTTCATGCTAGGTTGGGTGTTTATGTCATATTTCAGGGCTTGGCGTTGACATTGAGGCGAAGAAACGAGTTTCGGTTCGAAAGGAGGGCGTTTGAGTTGAAGGGTGCTGGAGGAGCAAATACCCGATCATGAGCAAAAATACCCGGCCGGGTAAAAATCTGAGGAGGCCGGGGAAAAGTGATTTTGCGCGTCCAGAGTCCAGAAGGGGGCCCGACCAGAGAGCAAAAATACCCGATCGGGTATTCCTGACCTCGATCGGGTATTAAGGGCGTCACCGTTGCGCAGCGTTTCGAAATCCCCGGCCGCGCACCCGAAATACTCGACCGGGGATTATGGTCGGGGATCGCGAGCAACTGGAATTTAAGGGAAAGAAGGCCAATTGTGAAGGGGTTCCTAGTTTGAGAGAAAGAAAGTGATACCTAGAGAGAGAAAGCGACGAACCAGAGTTCCCAAGCGCCTTAGATCGATCTTCATCATCAGTGGAGCTCGGATAATGCTTGGAGAAGTGTCGATTGCCGATCAGAAGCAGAACCCCATTCTTCACAGCATGTTTTCTGCTTCTGAGCTAGAGTTTGCCTTTCTCTCCATGGAGTAACTTCCACATTCACCTGGGTATGAAGAACCCTAGATTTGTATGTTAGGTCTGAATGTATGAACCCAAGTATGAATCCATTGACTTGATTATATTCAATTGAGGTATGATTTGTTGAATGGCATGAATCCTGATCAAATTCCTGTTGTTTCTGCTTTAACCTAGAAAGAGAATATCCGCCTAGGTTGATAGAGCACCCTTGATTGAAGGTAGTGAATTGACGGTATTAGTCGAGGAGTCAGTTCACTATCCTGTACCGGATTTACTTCGGTAGTGGAGGTTTGGTTCGTTAGGGCCTCAATCTGTTTACTCCGGTGGAGGTTAGTTGCCCGCTGGGGACTCAGATTGAGAGGGTCTGGAGACCTTTAGTCGAGACTGCAGACTGTTTAAGAACCTCCCTCAGTATAACTATCTTTGAATTCGAACTTGGTAAATTACAATCTGGCTTAACTGCAGTCTAGGGGGAACCATATCCGGGTGACCTCTCTCAACTTGTAAACAACCTTTTACTGATTTGCTTGTTTGTTTACTTGGACCTCCTTCACTACACTTTCACTGCTAAATAATAAGAATTCATGGAGTAGTCATCACACTTAGGATCAGGGTTGACATTAAAACCCAAACCCGCTATACTACGCTTTAGTAGGTGGTTACACTTGGCCATTTTATAGTGTGAAGGTAGAAGCTATTCAATATGACTTAGTGATATTATCTCATGGTAGCACGTCGACATGGAGAGTAATCCGACAAAATGATGGGAGATTCATTAAGTCATTCTCAATTAATCTATGTGGGCGATCGATTACTCATGCAAATCTTACATGTATCACTCGTGGATTAAGCAATGCTTGGGAGATGGGGGTCTGGAAAGACATGTTGCAGACTGACTCAGCTACTACAATCAGCCTGATGCAGTCAAATAGTTCTTGTCACCCACACCACACACTGGTTTCCTCTATTCATGCATTGATGGAGACAGGGGCGGAGCCAGTATTAATTATCGGGGGCCGAAATTTTCTTAATACGTTACAGCAAAAGAGGAAAAACTAGTAATAAAAATTATTTTAAAAAACGTATTATTATTATTAAAGCTTAAAATTTTTTCACATTAAGTTCACTACAAATCATAAAAAATATAATGACAATAGTCGAATTAGCTAATAACTAGCTTCCAAAAAAAGGAGAAGGCTACTGCTTAGCAAAAAGACAAAAAATAAAAAATATACTCACCTCAAGAATCGAACCCATGACCATTGAGTCATTCTACATTGCCAATTTTGCTAGGCCAATTCAAATTTTATGTTATAATTTGCACGCTTTTTACTTCTATTCAGTACTTTCTTGTTTATACGTATTATCCTAAACCGTTTACAAGTAAGTTCGATATTCTCGCGCGGGGGGGGGGGGGGGGGGGGGGGGGGGGGCTTAGGGCCAACGTTAGCTCCGCCCCTGGATGGAGAGGAGGTGGGAGGTTATCATCACCCATGTGTTCCGACAAAACAACTATGAGGCTAATTATCCGGTTTCTGTTGGCCACCCTTTACCCACTAAGGTTCGTATTTTTTTATGCCTCGCGTCCTACTTTGAGATATTGGTTGTACTTCGACTTTATGGGGTTCAAACCCCCTCGTCTTATTAATGCTTAAGGATTAGAGCCCCTCCTACGCTCTGTTTGACACAAAAATAATTATTTGAGAAATTGAGGTTTCTCACCTATTTAAAACTTCATAATGACTAAAATATGAGGTAATAAAACAACAACTTTTAGTAATTTAAGTAAAATTACATGTTATTTAGGCAAAAACTAATTGACAATGGGGCGAAGAAGATCATGTCATGTCGAGGAGCATACCCATACAAGCTACTAAACAGGTCAAACAAATCGAGATTGGGGCGACCATTATATTTAGGTTGATCCTGCCACCACACCCGCTTGCAATTTTGGTAAAAAAGAAACAGAAAACGGTAAAGCTTAACAAACAAGTGACCTATACTATACATCTCTTTTTTTACTCGGAAGTAAAAAAAATTGGCGTTACCCAATTCACCCTCCTAACGACCTAGAGATGCTTTACCTTAGCGAGAAAACTAATCTCTGTTATCATCGGTTGATACTTGTTCAATTAATCGTCGGCTGTGACTTTTTCACAGATATATCTCTGAGTGCCACATTCTTCGAGCAACCAATATCGATCTGACCTTCAACGCAGCCCGAACCTTGCACCAACAGGCCTTCGGCTTCCCCATGGCAGCCGGGAAATCCATCCGGTTGGCGCCGAAGCTTGGGAACGATGACAGAAATGCCGCCGCCGCTTCTTCTTCCGTGGTCCCCGGCGTGAAAAACAGAGGTCCCCATGGAGCAGGGGAAGCTGCAGCCACCACCTCCGTGTCCTCCGAGGATGCGGCTACCGGCCATGAAGACGACCCGCCGCCTTGCAGCCATCCTCCGCACTCGTGCGGGATGGAGAAATGTCCTCCGCCGCCGCCGCCGGAGAATTTGAAGCTCGCAGTTCGTAGGAACGGGCTGAGTTGGATGGGGCTCATGGCGTTGTTCGTGCTGATGTTGTATGATGAGCTGGTCGCGTAGTTGTTGTTGAAATCCAGATGCAGCTCGGATTCGTCTGCCACGGTAGAAAAAGAAACGATTCGCGTTTTCAGTAATTTGAGAGAGGGAGGGAGGGAAACAGAGTGGTTAAAAACAGGGGAAGTGGTAAAAGAAAAAAAAAAAAGAGGATTTACCGTGGCGGAGGACTGGGAAATCGAGCTGGCGAACGTCGAGATTGTTGGAGATGTGTAAGGGATCGAGTTGGATTTCCGCCGGCGGCGGCAGAGGGAGTTGCCGTGTGGGTCCGAAAGCTGAATGAGAATCCATCGGGATCAAGCCTTCCAAGTTTCTGTAAGCTTGCCTTTTTGAGTTCTCCACCAGAACCTGAAAAAGCGAGTGAGGTACTTTTCCATGAGATTTTGTAGTAATTCAGATGAGAAAAAAAAAAGCATAGAGGTGATCGGATTATAGATTTAACTGGTAATTCAGATGAGAATAAAAAAGCAGAGGAAATAAATTTGGAGTTATTTTCGCTTACTTTTTGGGGAGGGGTTAGTCTATCGAGAGGCTCATAGCTATGCCCATCGTCAAACATGGCACCCACAAGCTTGTACACCGAATTGAACAAGAGTCTGACACCTTGAGCATGGTCGTTGTAGACGTAGAACTTGGCTTCATCATCGAGCACACATGTATTGGCGTGCTCGACAATCGAGTCCCAAATCCTATTCGAGATGCCACCTCCTAGAATCTGTTTAACAAATATAATTAAAATGATTCAAAACCAGAAAGATGAAACTCGAATTGAAAATTTGATTTGAGTAAGAAAAAAAAAAGTTTCCTTACGCTTCTCAGAGTAGTTTGGTCAACGACGTAGGCCTTGAGAAACTCTTTCACGGTGCTGATTCCGTTGGCGGACAAACGCTTGTGGAATGCACCTTCTTTCGCTATCCTCTCCAGCCTCCAAACCTCGTCTCCCAATTTTGGAGGGTAATGCTTCTTATACACTGAGGAAAAAAATTCAATCAAATGTTATATTTTGTCAAGAACATCAATATCCCGCAAAAACATCCATAATAATTATTTTGGGCACTTACGTTCACCGCGATGATCCTTGACCACAAAAGGCTCACTTCTGGCTTCCCTAATCCTAACAGCTTCCTTCGAATCGCCTCTCTGCACCGCCCTAGCGCCCAGCCGGAATCTCCTGCTCCGTTGCCAGCTGGAGTTGTCGGTGAAAACCACGTCGCTGATCTGCCCAACTCCGTCCTTCAGCACAACGCTGAGCTCTCCGGCCACCAGCGGCCTCCTCCCTTCCCGTTCCTTGATAACACTGTCGTTGAAATCCTTGGCGCACCAATCTTCGTCGGAGCCGAAATCGCCGTCCAGGACAACGATTTCAATCTTGAGGGAAGACAGCGGACCCGAGTTGACGATTGTATTGGAGGCGGCATCGAGGAGCACGATCCTGACGGGGTTCCCGTCCTCGGCTTCGATCCTGCCGTTGGTAAAGATGCGGGAAGGAAGTTTGTTCACGAAGTGAAGAACCAAACCCTTCTTCTTCTTCACCCCTGATTCTTGAAAAGACGTTCTGCAATAACAGCAGTAAGTAAAAGACGTTCTTCAGGAGTCGTTTGGATGGATCAATCTAGAAATAAGTCAATTTGATCAATTGTCTCGTTTTATAAACGAAGGCAATTAAAACGCGAGTCAAATCGAATCACCTGCCCCCATTCCAGGTAATTGAAATTATTGACTCAAAACGGATCAATTCAAAATACATCAGACATATTGATTCATCCAAATGTTTTGCTGGCAAACGAGACAATTGTGTCAAATTGATCCGTTCCAATTCCTCGTCCAAACGACACCTTTAAAGAAATGACTAAATCCCGTCTTGATATTGTAGCTCCGTCGCTAAAGATAGGTAGTTGGTCATGGAAAGTTAACTGACCTGGAAGAATCGAAGGATGGTCGTCGGCTTAGCAATTGAGCAACTGTCTTCTCGACCTCGTCACGAATCTGCACAAGTTGGAATTAAAATTTAAACCCCCGAAAAAAATTGCGAAAAACGAGTGGAACAATTTTATTATTGTGTTAAGAAGACTTTGACCAAGCCAAAGTCAGCTCTTTCCAGCTTACTGCATATATCTACGACTACTTTTCTTCGAGTGCTCATCAATGGCGGACGAAATAAAAAAAAAAAAAAACGGAAGAAAAGAAAAGAAATGAAGGAACCCAGAAAAGAAAGAAACCCATACATACCACTGATCGTAGAAAGGGCTCCATGCTGGAAGCGAAATCCGCCATGGATTGCTTCCCAAGAACATCTCTCACCGCGCTGCAACATTATTTCACAGATAGTTCGGTCGTCAGAAATTAGTTAAGAACTTGCAGGCAAATCCCAATTCCTGCAGCTAATTGAAAGCACAAGGTAAGACATGTTTTTGTTTCCGGGTTCGTACTTTCTGAATCTCTTTGGAGAAGGGATTGATGATGATCTTCCACCAGCTGCAGCGCCATTTCCGGCGTTGAGTTCTTCTTCCCACTGAGCATCAAAGCGTCTCTTGGGCAGCATTTTGTGTTTCCTTGTTTTGGGTTTGCTTTTGTTCTCGTCAGGGAATGTTGAGAGTTGGAGATAAAATGAGTAAGGACGAGGGTTGGCTTTGGGTTTGGTTATATAGTGGGAGGGGGAGAGAAGGTGCTTGGAAGGTTCAGTTGGAGTTAAAATGTATAATTATGTCAACTTTGGGGCAAACCTTATACACAACGCGGCCAAATGGCTATATAGTGGTGGCTTCTTGTGGCCTTCATTTTGTTGTGTCAAACTTTTGGGCATGCCACTATGAGGTTTGAGTTTTGGTTTTGTGTGGGTTTTCATTTTTTTTAGTTAAATGTATTTTTTAATAACGGGATGCTGATGCATATGTCTTTTTAGATAAGTATGCGAGTGGATAATTTGAGTGTCGGTGAGCACAAAAAAAACTCAGAACACGGAAAATGATTGACTAGATGTGCGAATTAGCTAGACTCGAAAGCATAACATCTGTTAGTATCACTCAATTTTGAATTGCTATCGTATTCATACTCCCACCATATTATATATTACGGAAAATCTTGGGTCATAATGCATACGTCGTATTCAAACCGGCGATCTTTCAGTTGAAAGGATGAAGAATGTGTGTCACAACATGTATCGTTCTTCATTGCAAGTACATTTTGGAGGTGGGTCACAGGTTTTATCCCAGGGTTATGTTATTGTTGGATTGTTCTTGAGGCATGCTCTGTTTATGATTTTGTTGGTACGTACACGGATCATCATGGTTTTACTAGGTCGAAACCTTTTCGAGTTTCTTTATGTTTTCTTTTGTGTATAATATTTTCACGGGATCATCTGCATTGAATTTTGATTGCATCTTTCACGATTTTGATATAGAGTCGTCTTTGTTGATCAATTATATGATAGAGAATTTTAGTTTTATGATCTATCACCAACAAATGGACAATTACATGTTAGAAAATAGACAATTACGTACACAACTTGTCCCTAAAACTGTTTTGTTTACTTATTTTGGAGCCACCATCAACATGGCCACCCTCTTCGTCGGGATCTGTATGGCAGTATACTCGAACTATAGCAACAAGAAACAAACAAGGAGAACCACTCGTCCTTGTCAAGGAAGGGAGGATTGGACTAAGATGGTAATGGTACATCAAAAAGAAAAAAGAAAAAAAGATGACGAACAAGTTCATTAAGGGTGTTGGAAATCTAAGATGACGTACACAAACGAACTCATAACCGCGTTAACAGTTAGGGCACTACTTCACTAAACAAGAACTACAATGACCAAAAGTGTTAATTAAAATAAAAAGGAGTAACTTCTAGTGATGTAAACAACTAGTTAATTCCGACAAATAATCAAGTAAAATATGCTTGAAAGTAATAATAAGTTAAGTTGAATTGTGGGTGGATTGCGGGTCATTCAAAATGTTATTTATTGTTTATAATATCAAATAGTGATCGTATAATCTAAATGCACTACACATTGATCACCGACTTTTAAAAGTGTATGAAAATGAATATTTTGGACTACTATTATTGATTACTTTGTTTTGTAATGACTATTAGATATTGATGTACATATTATAAACTATTAGTTGTATCAAAGTCACAAAATGTGTCAATTTTCTCTATACAATTGGTTTATGGAGTAATAAAATTTTTAATGCAAATACTACACGGTCCGCAGGAGACACGGTGGGAAATTGTCTAAATTGATATAAGCTTACTAATTTGCGAAAAAACCTATTATAAATGTTAGTCAATTTTCTTAATGGCCAGTTGAAGAATTGCTTTTGTGAGTAAACTCACGATCCAACCGCGTTCATCCGCCACCCACCCAACCCAACCCCAAAAAGAATGTCGAGATCTCGCCGCTAGCTCCATTAATACGATATTGTCCGCTTTTGGCCAAGCACACATGGATTTACTTTTGGGTTCCTTCCCAAATGGCTTCGTACTAATTGAGTTAGGTGGACATTAATATACAAGGGTAACTTCTCTTATATTACCGATGTGGTACTTGGATTGTCTCATAACAATCCTCCCCCTAAGACAAGGACCACGAACTTCGTTTTCTCATCCTAGCAATTATCTTGAGTCGCCAACACCTTGATCCGCCAAACAAACGTGGATCTCTCCTTGATCCACCAAACATACGCAGATGTTCCTTGACAAACACCTTGTATCGACAAGCTATTCGCGACAAGGATTTTCCAGACTGAGATCACCTTTTTTATCTGCAAGATCAAACACGAATCTTCTTTGATCCGCCAAACAAACTTGGATCTCTCCTAGATCCACCAAACAAACGTATATCATTCTTGACCCGCCAAACAGACGTGGATCCAGGATCCACCAAACATACTGAGATCTTCCTTGACCTGCCAGACAAATTAAACATAGATCTCATATCTTGAGTCCCCAAATGAGGGTCCCAGCAAACTAACGTCCACCGCCCCGAACTGAACCAAACTTTGATACCACTTGTTGAAATTCTATAGCTCAATCAGTACGATATTGTCCGCTTTGGGCAAGCACGCATAGTTTTACTTTTGGGTTCCTCCCAAAAGGCCTCGTACTATGAGCTTGGTGGACACTAATATACACGGGTCCTTTCCCTTGTATTTTCAATGTGGTACTTGGATTGTCCCATAACAATTATACCAACTTTTTCTTTTTGAAAGATAAGTATCATTAAAAATGCGATCGAGTCAAGCCCAAACGAAAAAAGTACAAGAAAAAAAAAGAGTATGGATATGAAAATCAAATGGCCAAAAACAACTAGGTCGACACCCAATAGGGCTAGAACCCGCGCAAAAACAAGATACAGCTTCTGAAACCCTAGCTGCTTCATCTACCCCCTCTAGCCTCTGGTTCCTCCACCGCCGCCGACAAAACCACCACCACCATATGACCAACCAACCGACGTCGTCACCAACGTCAAGGGCCAGACCTGAGGATCGATTCCCACCAAAACCAGATGGAAGGATGAGGAAGAGAACTTCCCACCATCCCACCTCGAGCCAGTCGACTATTGACAACATGAATCAACTAGTCAGTGACGAAAGAACCAGAGCGAATGAGTCTTCCATCTTCCAGCTCTCCACTCAGAGTCCAACACCAAGGGTTGTATCTCCCATGCAACCTAGATCTGCAAGGTGAGACATGAAGGTATACCATGGAGAGAAAATGAGAAGACAAGCCAGATCAGGACCAGATCTGACATCCATCGCATCTTAGAATAGAACCATAATCTCCAGATCTGAGTCATCAAATCTGAGGAAAAAATATCAACCCATTAGAGGGGGAGGAAAGGAGACCTACCAAAAGGAAAGACATAGCCTAAAATGGCTAGAAAGAGCTGAAAAACAGGAAGGAAAAGAGGTTAAACATGGAGAGAGAAGAAAACGAAGGAAACAGAGGGGCGAAGGGTTGCCGCTAGGGGTGAGCATTGTGTGGTTGAACCCACAAATCCACCCGCAATCGACCCACCCATTATCATGTGAGTGGTTCCTATGGGGTGGGTGTGGGTTGTAAAATAAGTAACCCACAAAAGATTGGGTGAGTGCGGGAGGACTATAGTTGACCCACGACCCACCCAACTTTTTAACCTCAAACCAGTGAAGCTCTAAGATTTAGCTTTACCGAAAATGAAACCTTAAAACCACAAAAATTTCTCTCAATTTCGATCAAAAGACTGTGTTGTGAGGTGTGCTTAGACAATTGGAGGTACGCTTAAGCATAACTAATAGACGAATGACAAGAAAAAGATAATTCTCTTACCCAAATTGACACCATCTCAAACTACCAACAATTCATCCTTCATTCCCTTCATCAATTTGGAATTGTAATTTGCGACTATAGGTTAAAAAGCTATTTACGCTCACAACCTCTAGGCAAATGAGGCGTTCGGCAAGACCAAAACGTTTGCCTTGTGCTTAATTCCTTCTTGAACTTTGGTTATTATCAGGCAAGAACCATGTTTATCAATTGAATATTTTGTAATTTATGTACAGCTACCAATACCAAGACTATAAAATAAATGATTTGCTTGATTTATGAATTAAATGCTATTTAGTTTGATTTTTTTTATTTAAAGTTTAAAAGTATTTAAATTATGTGATCATATGGAATATATATTGTAAACCCACTTAATCCACCCAACTACCCACCATCCGCAATCACCCAACCCAACCTACTCACATGTAATGCTTGGGTGGGTGTGAGTCATTGCTTCCTTCACCGCCAACGTAGTGGGTGGTTCTAAACCCACCCAAATCGCATAAAACCACCCACTGCTCACCCCTAGTTACCGCCGGCCGACGGATAGATGCCGATGGCAGCTCCCTCTCTCGTCGTGGGAGTCTAGAGAGGAAAAAATTGATTTCATTAACAAAAAAAAAAAAAATTTATACCAACTCGTTAATTTGAGAACTAAACCCATCAAACTCTCCCATTACCCACCCAGAATAGATAAGATCCTCCCACCTACTGTTGGGAGGACGTCCTCCCAGCGGAGAATATGATATTTGTGTAATGATAATATAGTATACGATCTACAGGAATACATATCTGTCCAACAAAAAAAAATGTTTTCTTATAATAGATAGTAGTTTGACAAATATGTATTCATGTAAATCGTATATTATATTATTACATTACACAAATATCATATTCTTCGCTGGAAGAACGTCCTCCCAACCCAACAGTAAGTGGAGGAACATATCCAATCCGTTATCCACCCCTATCTCCAATAATTGGGTACGGCCGCCGTTGGCCGTTGGGTTTGAGTATGTGGCGCGTTGGCGCGTAGCATGCTTTCGTATCAGTGCAGTGCAGTGCAGTGCAGTGGGTCTTTGTTTAACTATATCTAATGATTTGGACTTTTTGGAGATGTGATATAATACAATAACAAAATGAAAAGAAGGGAAGGATGATGGGAAGATTCTGATCGGCTCATTTTTTTATATATTAATTTCCTATATTCGCAGAAACGCGGTTCATTAAAAAACCTTCGATTACATCACTCAAACAAGAAGATTAGATTAAATTATTAATCCCTACAAATTAATGATTGTTGGAT